GACACAAGTCCCCAGGCTTGAAGGGACACAGCTCTGTGGGAGCCAAAGGATCTGGTCTGCTCAGCTGCCACTTCCCTCCTTCGCCCTCATCTGGGCCCCGCACCAGCGACTCTTTCTCCCCTTAATCCCCATGGGCCCATTCTACCTGGAGTGAGAAGCAGACGCCTTCCCACCCTCCACACCTCTACACATGCGTTCCTCAGGCTTGAACACAGAGGGATGTTGTCATCACATCTTTATTGGTGAGGAAGGAAGAAGGACAGCCCCTCGTGTAGGCAAGATATTATTGGATCTAAAGACTGTTGATTTCTAGAGTAGCAATTAGAGCTACCAGAGGGACTTGGATTTGTTAAAAGGCAGAAGGCAAAACATTTCAGGGTCAGAAATCTGACTTGGTGGAGAAAAAAGACATACTGCATCCCAGGAGAATTTTGTCTGCTCAAGAGCGGGGCTGAGAGGGCCACAGAAGGGGAAGGCTGATAGGGACTGGTCCCAAGAGCTTCTCCTTAGTCTGGCTTCTCTAGGAATACTAAAAGATCCAAGTCCTCCTCGGCAACCCAGGACGGGGTGCCCTCGACATTCCTGCGTGTCCCTTGGGATTCAGAAGTGTACCTAGAGAACACTATGCCTTGTGGTTATATTCTCCGAAACACCTACAGTAAAATTTGAGAATTCCTTCGCTTCTGCTGATTCCATTGGAAGGGTCCCCATATTCTAGGTTCCAGGAGAGGTGAGCTGACATTCCTGAGACGCAGAAAGAGAGGGTTGCCCAGTTAGGAGAGGGAACTGGAGACACGGAAATATTCTACAATGACATATTCTACGAGAAATATTCTCTGAGCAAGGACCTACCAGCAGATGTTTTGGGGTCTTAGTTGTGATTCTGTGACTGGAAAAGGGGGTCAGGACATCCTCCCAATGGGTGAGCTCAGAAGGCTGCTCTGACCTGGGCAGCAAACGAGGTCCATGAGAACAGGTGACCAGGACACGGTAGAAATGTGTCCCAAGTTCAAGTCCCACATGGGCCGCTGGACCCTGGGAGTCCTGTTGGGCCTCCTCAATTGGGCAGGAAGGATAGCACCTCTGTGCAGATGTGTTTGCACCTCCTCCGATGTTCCAGTGTGTCCCCTGAGCAGACTCTGTGTGGAGGTGGACAGAGGAGTGTCCCGTTGTCTCTGGGCAGACAAGAGAGTGTTGGGCTTTTAGACTTTCTAGAACGTTCAAAGACTTTGATCATTCCTATCTTTTTGAACCTTATAGAAGCTGGGATCCCGTAGAAACATCCCTAGCTTGGATTTCTGCCATTTTCTTAATTCCACTGATGTTCACATGATGTCTGTCAGCCACTCTATTTAGCATTTAGGTTGTCTCACAACTTGGGGGTCCTTCTGAGCTCCTCACCTGAGGGCATCTACCAATTACTGCGTGAACGTGGGCAGGTTCCTCTCCCTGGCCAAGACTTGGGTCCAGCAGCCTAAACATGGGGAAAACAGCAGCGAACTTTAGATTTTCTGTGAAGGTTATTTGAGATAGCAGATGAAAAGTGCCCGCACCATTGCTCACCCAGAGGGTGTTCAATAAACAGAGACATTTATGATTATCGGTACTAATTTCACTCTACTGCAGCCCATTAATGAAGGTGATTAACCTAGTTTTATGCAAAGGCCATTTACAAATGTAGGGTAGAAATGTGGAGAAAGGAATCTTCTGGAAAGATACCAAGATGGAGAACATCCTTCAAAGAACCCTAGCCTTGGCAGCCATGGTATGTAAGAATTGTTTCAGCATCACACTGAATGGGGGGGACAAAGCCACGGAGACACCTTTGGGGGTGGAGGGAGGTTTTCTCTTCCTTTGTGTCCCTAAACTTCCCAAGAATCCACGTGTGATCCAGCCCAGGTGGGTGTCATCCTTGACCACAGCAGACCCTTAGACTCCAAACAGCTTCTGAATTTTGTGGGGGAAAGGTGTTGGTATTTGTGCACTGTGCTTAATATGAACATAAAAAAGGAATTTTGTCTCTATGCCTAATGGCATGTCCATGATCAGAATCTCTGTGTCCAAGGAGCTTGGGGACAGAAAGGAGCTTTTGGAAGTTGCCTTTGCCTCAATTGTTACTTACATTTGAGGAAACGTTAATTATCAAAATATACTTGGAAAGGGGCCAGTGGGATTATGGTTAGGCTCCCAAGGGTCCTGGAAAATGGCTGGGGCTGCTTGCTGTCTGGGACGTGTCCCCTGTGAAAGAACCCTGACTCTGAGATAGATGTCTCCTGGTAGCAGCTGCCATGATGATGACAGGGCTACGTGTGATTGGCCCACTTTTATTTCTCTCCTTGGCACCAAGATCTCCAAGAGCACACCCCATTCACCCTCAGTGTCTTTCAGGCTTGGAAAGGAGGACTTCTTAGGGCTGGCTGCCTCTCTTCCTCAGCTCGCATTCTTGGATTTAATCTTCTCCAGCCAATTTGCTGAGCAAATCCCATCCTTCCCGGAGGAGCCGCCCTTTTCCTCCTGGGAGGGACGGAAGACAAGAATCTCCCTCCCTGCTCTCAAGGAGGACACATCTCCAGCTCAGCCACTTCTCTTTTTGTTTCTAAAGTCACCCAGAGAAAAGTCTTTCAATCTCCCTCCTCACCAAGAAAAAAACACCCCGTATTTCCCATGGTCTTGGGTCATTCACAGGGTCCCATTAGAATGGCCCAGCTCCACACTTCTCATGGTTCTGGCCTGGCCTCCTTTAGAGAAGCCTTGTGGTCGGGAGGACCAGTGACATGCTCAATTACACGTCCCTTGCTCCCTGAATGGGATCATGATCTGCCATGTTACCTGATATCAAACCTAAGGGACAACTTGATGCACGGAGACATTTCTTTTTCTTTTTTTTAATCTAAATAATATATTCTATTTAATATATTTTATTGAGTTCAGTGAGTACAAACTATTGCCATTTCAACATGCAGTCAACAGAAACAAGGAAACATTGAGATAGTTTATGTATTTTTTTCATCCTAAATCTTGAAAATCCAGAGTGTCTTTTTCACTTACAGCGCATCTGCATTTGGACTCGCCACGTGTCAAGGGCTCAGCAGCACTTACAGCCAGTGGTTAGGCCGCCCAGATGTAAAATGCGTCAGTTAACCTTGACAACGACTTTAAGAACATGGAAGCTTTGTGATTATCAATGAGGAATTAACACAAAGAAATTAAGAAATTTGTTCATCAGCAGCAACTTGGTGCAAAGCCCAGACTCAAACCTTGGTCTTTGGTCGCCAAGCTTTATGCTCCGTTTTCTACTGTCTGTACTGTAAGAACTGATGTTCAACATGACCCTGAAATACAGCCAGATCGATCAAATAAATTAATAGTGATGTGGCTTCACCTGTAAAATGAGAGGGCTGGACAGGCGGTCACATTTCTTTCTTTTCTTTTCTTCCCTTCCCTTCCCTTCCCTTCCCTTTTCTTTTCTTTTTTCTTTGGGGATGACACCACTCTCTTCACAAAGCTATTTTAACTCGGGAACATTCTGATCATTTTGATGTGGCCAAAGACCCCCCAGGAATGGGGCTTTCAGGTTTTGTTAGTTTTGTCTAAAGTCAGGAACAGAGTACACCCATTCCGTCTCATACTGAGAATGAGGAAGGTCCCATTATCAGGAAAACTCAATCAGCGTCTATGAATCAAGGAACTGACTCCTCAACTGTGCCCCTCCCTAATTCTTTCTCTGTCCTCAATGGAGGTCTGATTCAATCATTTAATCTGGAGAAAGGTGAAGATCCCATCAGGATTACCTGGATGGGGATTGAGGAGTCTATTCAGGTTATTGCTTTCTGATTGGAGGTTAGTAGTTGAAAAGGGAAGATGTGATTAGAAAGGTCTATAAAAGACTCAGGCACCAAAGAAGAGATAGAGAAACAGCTCTGGAGTCACCACCGCCTTGGTTCCCTCCCAGGTCTGAGGTCTGAGCACTCAGCCAACCATCTCAGGGCAGGTAAGTTACCTGCCTCAGCTAAGGACACACCGCCTTACCTAAGGCAGCCGGCATGCAGCCTGAGAGGGCAAGGAGAGCATTCTTCTTTCTTTATTTTCAGATGAACAGATTTAAGCTTCGGCTTTGCCTCTAAGTGCAGTTTTGCCTTAATCCCAAACATTTTGATTTGTGCTTTGATTTGTCATTTTAAAATGCCTTAAATGAGCTGAATTTTTTTTTCTAATGAAAAAAAACCTGGCGTTTTACTTCTTGACATTTTAAATATTTAGTCTGTGCACTTAGATTATAGCTCACATACTTGGTGGTTTTGTGATTTTACTAGTTAGGCTTTCTTTAGCTAAAAGTTTCAGAACATTCCATATTATTGAAGAGTATTTTTAAAGAGTAGAGTCTGTACTGAATGTGAACTAACGTGTTCCCCCGAACCCCTTCCCAACATGGTCATTCTAATAAATGGGAAGAGAGAACGCAGAGAAGTGTACATCTCAGTGTTTTTTACCTCTAAGCTTTGTTACACAACTTTTTAACAATTTCTTGTTTAAATTTTTAAACAATTTTTAAAGACTAATGGCATCCATTTTAGGGGAATCATCTTAACCTTTCCCGGCCAGGTTAACTGTGGGCTTTGTTGGGTTGCATGATGTTCCCATATCTGTTGTTTTAGGGCCTTGAGTGATGGTCTGAAAGTTTTCCCCCCAAAAGGGTGGGGGTCAGCTTTCAGTCTCCTTGGTCCCCACTTCCCAGTGGGACTGGAATTAAAGCAGTGGGTGCTTCCGAGATGCTTGTCCTGGGGCCAGTAGGAGCAGAACTATGACTCTGTGGCCACTGAGCCCAGGATGCAGCTGGGTAAACTGAGCCTCTTCCATCTTTGCCAGAGCAGTGACTTTGGTCCTGCGTTGGTTCCTCTGAAGGGTGGGGAACCAGATGATGGGCGTGCTCATGCTTGGCCTGAGAAAGATGCTGTGTTCCTTAGACACTTCCGCAGGGTTCCCTTCGGAGCAGATTCAAGATGAGCGTCCGGACGCCACCCGGACTCCTGGAACTGGCGGGGAAGAGCCTGCTAAGGGACGAGGCCCTGGTCATCGCATCTCTGGAGTATCTGCCCACTGAGCTCTTCCCGCCGCTGTTCATGGAGGCGTTCTGCGGGAGACACAGCGAGTCCCTGAAGGCCATGGGGCTCGCCTGGCCCTTTGCCCGCCTCCCTCTGGGGGGCCTGATGCAAATGCCTCAGCACAAGGCCTTACAAGCTATATTGGATGGGCTTGACATCCTGCTCGCCCAGAAGGTTCGCCCCAGGTGAGGCAGATCCAGGTAGCCCAGAAAGGTCCTGGGCATCCTGGAAGACGACTGGGGTCAGGGAGTGTGGCGGGCCGAAGGGTGGATCCGAGCTCTCTGATGGTGCCAGTGAAGCTCAGAGAGGCCTCGGCCGTGCTGAGCCCACTTTGGAAAGTGGAGGACGGCTTAAGAGGCCGGGGCGCCTGGAAGAACATGCCCCTGCCTCCTCCCGGTGATCCTTAAAGGCTCTAGTAGTAGAGGCCAAGAAGGATGGAAGGGGAAGGAGATGGAGAAAGGCAGAGAGGGAAGAAGAGGGCATGGGAGCCGCTGATGTGAAGTGCAAGCTCCGAGGGGAAGCCCCATTGTTGCCTAAGCTCTGAGATGCTTGGTCTCATTCTGCTGCCTTCATTCTGTTGACCTGCAAGCATTTCAGCCAATGTCCTGCTTTCCCCCACAGGAGGTGGAAACTGAAGGTGCTGGATTTACGGAACACTGGTCAGAACTTCTGGAGCATGTGGTCTGGAGCCAGGGCCCAGGAGCCCTCACTGATGGGACCGGTGGCTGAGGCCAGGTCCAGGATGAGGAAGCGCTTGGGCCCCTTGGAGGTATTCATAGACCTTAGCTTCAGTGATAGGATCCAGGATCAGTTCTTCACCTACCTCATCTGGTGGGCCAAGCAGAGAGAAGGGTCCCTCCACCTGTGCTGTAAGACCCTGAAGATTTTTGCAGTGCCCATCAAGAAGATTAAGAAGGCCCTGGCTATGGTGCAGCTGGACTGTATCCAGGTGGTGGAAGTGAACTGCACCTGGAATCTGTCCACCCTGGGGATGTTTGCTCCTTACCTGGGTCAGATGAGTAACGTGCACACGCTGTTTCTCTCCCACATCCACATGCAGGCCTCCGAAGAGGAGGAAAAGGAGAGGCATGTCTCCCAATTCACCTCTCAGTTCCTTAGGCTGCACCACCTCCGGAGGCTCTATATGGAATCTCCCTCCTTCCTTGAAGGCCGGCTGGACCAGATGCTCAGGTGAGTGGTGTAACAGTGAACGCACACCCTAGAGCAGCAGTTCTCAACCTTCCTAATGCCGTGACCCCTTAATACAGTTCCTTATGTTGTGGTGACCCCAACCATAAAATTATTTTCGTTGCTACTCTATAACTGTAATTTTGCTACTGTTATAAATTGTAATGTAAATATCTTTTTGTTTTCCGATGGTCTTAGGCGACCCCTGTGAAAGGGTCATTCTACCCCCAAAGGGGTCGCGACCCACAGGTTGAGAACCGCTGCCCTAGAGTATCAAGGCATTGCCTTGTTTGCTGCTCTACCCTAGTGTGGTCTCATGGAACCACCCAGAAGAAAGGTGGAGAGATAAACTGGGATAGAGGCTCTGGAAAGAGATACCATACTAGGAGCATACTAGGAAGTGGGGGTTCAGACTTAGCAAATTCTTCCCTAGGAAGAGATGTCCAAGTCAAGATGACTTAGGAGAAGAGGTGAGTGAAGAGGGGAAGCCACATCAGACTTGAGCATTTCCAAAGATAAGCTCTGTGCCCACCAGCTGCATGAATGTGAATGAGCCTGTTTCAAACTCCCCGTCTGTAAAAGCCTGCTTTGTGCTTCCGGGGAGGTAGTTAGTACATGAGAAATGAATGATTCTAGAGCTAAGGGAGCAGGAGCAAAAAAGGATTATAAAAAGTGAGAGGGGGTTTGCAGTGGTGCAGGGATGTGAGTAGCCCCTGCAGACTGGACACCCTAGTTGATGTTGCAGGGTCTTGCCCAGGTTTGTTTTGCATACATCAGAAGAACTAGCCTCACGTGGCCTAGAGACTTGGGTACCCAAGGACCAAGCAGTGGACAGGAGGAAGCCTGTTTGAGTTGAGAGCATTTTTGGTCTTGTCTCCCAATATTCAAGTTCAGCGATGCCCGTAGTGGCAGGCTCTCCTGAGCATATTCCAGTGCATTCCATGATGTCCATTCATCCTCATAAGTAAGCGGCGTGCTCTGCGTGAGGAAAGGGAGCTTGGGCGAGTTCATGAACTTGACCCAGTCACACAAGTGACGGTGAAAAGACAGCCTAAGATGAGACTGGGCGCCCTCGGTGTTGGTCTTCATCAGATGGTCAGAAGGACCCTGGGCTTGTTCGAATCGGTCCTCCCCCACTTCGAGGTCCCCCTCTCCCCGCTACCCCTGTCCCCCAGAATTAACTGCTGCGTCTCTCCCCAGCTGCCTGCAGACGCCCTTGGGGACCCTCTCAATAACTAATTGCCTGCTTACTGAATCAGACTTGAAGCATCTGTCTCAGTCCCCAAACCTCAGTCAGCTGAAGGACCTGGATCTGAGTGGTGTCACCCTGACCGATTTCAGTCCCAAGCCTCTTCAAGCTCTACTAGAGAAAGTTGCAGCCACCCTGCAGGACCTGGACTTAATTTATTGTGGGATCGTGGACTCCCACGTCGAGGCCATCCTGCCTGTCCTGAGCCGCTGCTGCCAGCTCAGGACCTTTAGCATCTCTGGGAACCCCCTCTCCAAGGCCATGGTGGAGAAGCTGCTACGTCACACGGCCGGGCTGCGCAGTTTAAGCCTAGAGCTGTACCCTGCCCCTCTGGAGAGTTACGGCTCCGAGGGGGCTCTTGAGATGGGGAGATTTGTCCAGATTCGGGGGGAGCTGATAGAGATCCTGAGGGACTTAGGACAGCCCAGGACTATCTGGCTTAGCACCAGCCCCTGTCCTCACCTTGGCAACAAGACGTTCTATGACATGGAGCCCATTCTATGCCCTTGCGATAGCCCTGCTTAGTGGGGTGCATTTAGCAAAAGCTTTCTTCTGGGCACTTGGAAACCGAAACCTAGGATCGAGGTGCATTATAAAGGGAACACACACCCGTGGTTTCAGACATGTGCTCAGTGCCAACGGGAAAAGGAAGGTGATCCAAGCTGGGGTGCAGGATTGTAGGGGGAAATGTTGACTCAGGAAGTGAATGGGGCCTTAGGGGACAAATATCCTTGGGAGTGAGACACGTGTCTGAGTCGCAGAAGGGGATCTGGGCTTGAAAGGTACAGGTAGGAGTTATCCTGAGGCGGATGGTTGTAAAGCCATGTCACCAATAAAGGACACTTCAATGGCTACCTTCTGGTGTCCTCCATGATATATTAACCTGTTTTCCCCGTTTACGCCTCAAAACTCTCCAGCTACTGAAGAAAAAAAAAATGGCGCCGAGTTGTCAGGATCAGAAACTCTTAACTGTTGGGATGAGGTTTGGCCCCAGGAGCTCACAGCACCATTTTGATCATTCCCTCCTGTTCTCTGGGCATCTCTTAACGTCCTTATTTCTCCGTGGGTTAATAGACACAACTGGAATATACTGAGTGGTCAATGAGCCGTTGGTGTGAAGTGCTCTTGGCAGGGGCTCTCACTGCTGACTCAGGCCATGACCTTGAGCAAGAGCACGCCTCACTCTTCTCCAGGTGCATCCCTACGTCTCACTTCCTGGCCTTTGGCTGTGCTAGGGAAGGGCTGCACTGCACAAGGCAGGGCCCCCAGTTCTGGGAGGGTCACCCACACTGCAGACTAGCCACAGCCTCTAGGCCTTACCAACAACCCAGGCCTCTCACCCTGGTGGGTAGCATTCCTTTGTAAATTAAGCTTGTGGCCAGGAAAGATATCCAGATTCCTTTGAGCAAAATTAACTCAAGTCATACAGGCATATAACATTAAAAAGTTTATTTCTGGGGCCAGCCAAGTGGCGTGATGGTTAAGAACTGGCTTGGGACGCCACAGGGCCCCGGTTCGGATCCCACATATGAGGGCCAGTGACACTGCCCTCCACAGCTAAGATGCTGAACAACAGCTCAACCTGGAGCTGGGCTGCCATGAGTCGCCGGCGATGGCATAGGCTGCAGCCCCTGCTGCAGTGGGTTGCCATGGGCTACCGTGTGTGGCCTGCAGCCAGCGTGAGCGGCCGTCCAGAAGCCGGCAACTGATCTGCCTCGTCCGGGAAGAGCGCAATGATGGTGCCAACTTGGGCCAGTGAAACAACGTCCTCCACAACTAGACCGAAGAACAAAAAAAACCCCAAAAACGACAGCAACTTGTCTGTTTCCCTTCCCCCAATTCCCCAACGCTGTTCCCATCCCCCCAATTCCCCAACAAAAATCTTAAAAAAAAAAAAAGTTTATTTCTGTATCACATTAAAAGCATATCCTTTTGAGGGCCTAGGTCAAATCAATGAGAGATTGACTTGATTTCCATAACACCTCCTGTCTCTATCAAGGAAGACGAGTATAGCCTGTTTTGGAATCAGTATATCAGGATGAGTAACAGAATAAGCAGCTGTAGCCAGCTTCAGCCTGACTCCACGGGGGGGCTCTGGAGCGTAGAGTGTGGGTCCCACCTGGAGGCCAGGGGGCTGCTTTAGTGGGATGCCTGGGGCAGGGCTGACAAGGGGCCTTCACTTCTGCGGGGGCGGAGGGTGGGAGGGTGATTCTCTAGAAGCAGCAGGAGCTGGGAGTCATTAGCTATCAACACAGCAGCTGGAGATGGGCGTGCCCAGTAGAGCGGCTCTTGACTCCGCTATGCCTAGTCAAACCTGTTTCTGGCTGAAGGGATAGTTCTGTGGTCACTGCTGAGTGACTGAGAGATGCACACCAGGTTGTCAGGAAAAAGACTATGATAACAATGCCAACAGCCAAGGTTGCTCCAGGAATTCAGGACCTGGGCACTCAGCCCATTGGAGAAAGCTGCAAAGTGCAAAAGGGAGACAGGGTTTCAAGAGGATACTTTAAGACATCCCCCCCCCCACCCCAAATGTGCTGGATGTGATCACTTATCACTCAATGGCTCTTTGATCATATACATATTTCTGATGGGGCAAGGGGAGAGGTTGTCTGCAAGTTAACCCACTGTCAAAACGTGGCAGTTTTTTTTCTTCCACTTAACACTGTGGCTTGCCTTCCTGTCCCCAGCATCTCCACAAAGCACTCCAAAAGCCCCGGATGAAAAACGTTCCATTAACTTTCCATCAGGGGCTGGGCCTGGCGCCAGCTTCCTATTTGACAGTGGAATCTGTTAGAGCAGGTCCGTGACCCACTTTGATGTGGTTACAAACAGAGGACTCAACCTCCTTGAAAATTCAAATCCCTCCTTGGTCCCTGGAGGAAGATAGTTAGCGCAGACTCAGGCTCAGTGTACTGATGGCTTCTTCCTGCCGGAGCCCTCTGCAAAGTGTTCACCCTCATGAGACCCCTTATTCCTCAGAAAGAAGCAATGACAACAAAAGAACAGGGCGTTATGAAGATTTGCTACCTTTTGTCCCTTTGCTCTTCAGCGAGGCAGGCGTGCGTTATTTTTAATCCTTTGGTTCTCACAGAGCATAACCTACATATTCACCTTTTCTGGTTTGAATCCTCGATTTTTGGGGGGCGATTTGTCTCTGTTTAGGACAAAGACGTGAATCAGAGACACTGAGCAAGACACAGAAGGGAAAGAAATGAGATAAAGGGATTTTATCTGCCAGGTTCGTCCAGAGAAGTAAAAGGAAAAGGCCTGGGGGAAGCAAGTCTATTTCCAAGGTCGGAGAAATGTACGTTTGAAACCTATACAACTTCACTAACCAATGTCACCCCAATTTAAGAAAAAAAAAAGAGAGAGAGAGAAGGGTCAAAACCATAGACACTTCAGAATTGTAGTCTGGTACTCGATATAACCAGGATTTAAAAAAAGACTTTCTTTTGCCTAATTTAGATGCCACTGGAAGTTCAAGAAACATTATAAAAAAACTAGTCAATGGTGTTTTTTCTTGTTTTTATTTTTTTTCCAGAGAAGCTCAAAATTGATTTTGCATGTTGTGATTCACTGGAGCGTCTGGAAGAGGATCTGGTCAGTGTGATAAATAAGGTAATTAAGCCACTGCTTGCCCCCGCTCCCCTCCCCCATCCTCTGTACATGGATTTGGTCAAAACCCTTTCAGTTTCTCCACAATTCTTTTTTGCTCTCAAATAGTTTCTTCTTTGTCCAGAGCAGCTCCTGCCTCCTGAGTGAATATGCATGCGGGCTGGCTTGGTCAAATGCACTTCAGGTCTGTTTAGGTGCTGCCTAGACTCCGACTGGCAGGAGTGTCAGCAAGAGATAAATCAAAGAGCTGTCACCTTCTGCAGCAGCACATTGCAGGGGACATTAACTCGCCTTCAAACAAGACAGAGGTGGCCTTTTTCTCTTGGGGTAAAATGTCCCACTGCTGGAGGCTAGGGTGGGAGTTGGTGCAGGAGTTGCAATTGGCTGCATAACCTTGGCTCTGGGGTGGAAGGAAACAGGCCAGTAATACTCTCCCTACCCCAGCCCCACCCTCATCAGTTTCTACTAGACGGGCTCCTTCTCCTCCAGGTTTCCACTTTTATGTCACCTCCTCAGAGAAGCCCTCCCTGACCACCTCCACTGTTCCTCATCATTCACCCTGCTGGTTTCCACCACAGAACAAACATATCACAATTTGCAATGGTGTGCATTCTTGTTTTCTTCTCGATGCCCAGCTCCGGGAGGGCATAAGGCCTCGACCATTTTATTCATCCATGTTGACCCAGCAGTGACCCCGTGTAATAACTGAGAAGTAATAACTGGTCAGTCCTCTTTTCCTTGTCTCCATATTTAGAACCGAGAGACAAGATGCAGGAATTAGTCGAGGGTAGGTCTAGATGTCGACCCTGTTTCAGTAACGCTAGGACCAGAGACTGTGGCTTGGATCTGAGGCGAAACAGGTATTCTAAGTCCCCCACCCCTACTCGAACTGACCCACCCAGGTTGAGCGTCAGGCTTTGAGGAAGAGAAGGCGTGGAGGGGCAGGAGAAAGGGGGAAAGTGGGAACCGAGTGTGTGGAACGCCAGTGTGTGTGGAGAGCCAATGCCCTCCCTCCTCCAGGAAGCCAGAGCAGTGGAGAGAAGGTGGTCGCCCCCGACCTCCGGGGTCTCTCCCATCAACCCTAATAAGTGGCCAACCATGTGATCATTCATGGACTTTCAAGTCAGCAATTCTTTATGGCGCTCCCTCGTGTGGAACCTGGGGTTGGAAGCCTTTGGTCAGCCTTACTCTTGTCCTGATTGGGTTTCAGGAGAGGCCTAGGCCGATCACGTCATTTATTCATTCATTCATTCATTCGTTCGTTCGTTCGTTCGTTCATTCATTCGTTCATTTCCCCTAGGTTTCATTGGAGGAGGCAGTACCACTTTCGGTTTTCTGCTCCCTTTCCTGGATCTTACTGATCTTACAGTGAGGTGCCCTCTCAGGTGTCCCCCAAGTGGCCGATCACAGGACATGTCCCATACTGTCCGGCTGCTTAATGTCCTTCTTGCATAAAGCATTTCGCATCAGGTCTTATTTGAAGATTATTTTTAATAATTTTTTTTTCTAAAAATAGATACAGTTGGAAATCTTTGGTAGAGATGCCATGGTCCCCTTTCGTCCCAGGAAGCCCGAGGAACTGTTGCTAACAAGCGCCGTTATGGAGGACTCGCGCTTCCTGCCCATCCCATCCAGAGCCACTTGGCTCCCGGTGGTTCTGGGTGTTGGTGGAATGGCCATGACATAATGAGAGAGACATGGCCACTGATTGCCTGTCTCACCGGGCACATGGCTTCCGATCTGAGCCTCAACGTCCCCCAGGGGAAAACGGGGATAATGTGATCTGTCTAGTATGGAGGTTTGGAAAATATATGTAAAGTACATGGTAGAAACGCAAAAACTAATTATGATGATGATTCTTTTCATCCTCTCCAAGGCCAGTATCAACCAGGACATATCTTTATAGC